CCCCTGCACGTCGAGCCGCGGCACCATGGCAACCGGCACGGGGGGCCGGAGCGAGGCGAGGCGAGGCGAGGCGCGGAGCTGCGCGCACACACGCACGCACACGGGCGCCCCCGACGCGGCACAACCGCGGGCACGCAGGGGGTGGGGAGAGCCCGGAGAGCGGGGCAGAGGCACAGCCACGCACCACGAGGGCACAGGACACGCACGCGAGAGCCGAGCGGGGAGGGCCGCAGCTCCCCCTCCCAGAAGATGAAGGCTTTCGGAAGCTCCGCCGGCCACCAAAAAATTAAAAAAAACAGCAAAAAAAAACTTTTATCTTCCTCCCTCAGGATCCTCCAACTCTCTTGGCTTGTCACTATTTAGCATAGAGATCGCGGGGGTTGGTTGGTTGGGGTTTTTTTTGCCACACGAGAATGAAAAAAAATAAAAGATAAAAAAAAATCAAGACTTCAAAAGGAAGAAGTCCCCAGCAAAGAAGAAAAAAATATAAGAAGAAGAAAAGAGTGGATCCAAAAATGACTGAGGGGAGAAAGGAGAAGAGAGGGTTGGGAAACAAGAGGAGAGAGAGAGAGAGAGAGAAGAAAAAAAAAATAAATTAAGAAAGCGAGTTCCCCTCTTTTTTTTATTCTCTTTGTTGCCTGCTATTTGCTTCTACTCTCGGTAACTCTTGGCTCCCATCTGTTCTCTCATGCGGCTGAAGGTCTTGCCTATATAGGACCCCTGCTTAGGACACGCCCCGGACTATGAATAATGAACAACTGTGGCACTGCAGGAGCAGGGGAGTGACTCTCCAAATCCAGATTTTGGTTCAGAAAGTACTGTAAAGGGGAGGGGGAAGGAGGGGGTGGTAAAAAACAAACCCTCAGACTTGCGATTTAAGTGCATTTCTTAGAAACCTTCTTTAGGAAGAGATGTGCTGGAACCCCTTTGAGAGGAGAGGCTACATCATGTGCCTTTTGTTTCAGGGAAAAGTGTTCCCATTCCCTCCCTCCTTGGCGCTGCTAGGGGAGACACAAGCAAAGCTCAATGAGAGTGCCCTTTTTTTTTTTTTTTTGGATTCCTGTCTACAATCCTGTCTACATTGGAGCTGATTGAAAGCACAGACAACCTAGGAGGCGTGCCTTTTAACACTCACACACTCAGGTTTAGGACATACTCTTGGAACCTGCTTCCATCTCACATGACAGTTGCAAATCCTTGAGAAAATTGTCTGGAATATATTTATTTCTCTTGGTCTTTTTTTTTTTTCCTCTCCCTCTCTCTCTCTGGCACTGGAACATGGTACTTTCAGTGCAAGTGATGTATGACTGCTTCCTCCTAAGTATCTTTATAGAGTGCTCTCTGAACTCATTAAGACGTCCCTCCTTGCCAAGGCACAATAATTTACCCTGCAGTGTCTTTTTTGCAAATCCAAAAATGGGGGGAAACATTAGCAAAATAAGCAAGCAAACACCGGGGATATTACATTGCAATATTTATTAAAGTGTGTCTTTGATCAATGCAAAGCAGCCTCTATCCTGCCTGGGATTTTTAAATGCCCTTTTCTGCTTGAACTTTCAACAGGACTCAGAATTTGCTAGTTTTTCAGTGTGCTGTTTGTTAAATGGATCCTAATTGGTTTCTATCTATATTATAGCCTTTCATTCATAAACATATATTCCTCACATGAGTGAAAATGAATAGGGCTCACAACATATTATCTGGCAAAACTACTTCCTGCCATGGACTCGAAATAAATCGGAAGATTTGCTTGTTTTTGACCATTTCACTATTAGCACTGAAGTTAATCTCTTAGTGATCAACCATTCATTTGTCTAAAAAGAGCGGATTCTTACTATAGTCCTAACTTTACTGTGTATTTGGACGTTTAAACCATTTAAGGTCAACTTTCTAGGTAGCTTTCTCAGTGTTTTACCCAGTACTGATATTTTTCCGTTACTGTCTTGTTTGGAATTTAAGTTGGAAACTGAATATAAGGATACACTGAAAGGACGATGATCAACTTCATTTAACTTCCCAGTGTATATTATGCACCATGATTTTCAGACTTCTTTGTCTTCTTGCTCATTTTATAAATTTGCCAATAGAGGTCGCTGGTTGTCCAGGATTGAGTCAAGGGTTGATTTAGCCCTTTACAAAGAGGGGATTGATCAACTGCTCCAAACTGAGTGCATTTTGTTTGGAGACTATCTCAGGAAAGCTTTCTGTTACAGTTTTAAAAAACAAAATAAACAAAACAAAACAAAATCTTTTCTAGGTGGTGAGTGAGGTTTTAAAATCTTAGAGATCATCTTGCAGTTTGTATTAGGACTCCCACAGATCTCTCACAGATGATGTCCAAAAGAAGGATTAGACCTTCCTCCTTTCTGCCCAGCAAAAGCACAGCAGGGGAGCACAGTAGATTAAATATGTATAAAAGCATCATTTTCAGCTGGGGAGAACTCTTATATAAGTCTATGGCTTTCCAACTGCAGCAATAAGGTAAAGAAGCCACTAAATGGAAAAAAGAATGAAACAGCAATTCCTTTCCACTACCATAAATGTACTTATAAACTGTTCTCAAGCCATATACTGTTGTGCCTGGAAGTAACATGTACTTTATAATGCTTTGTCGACATTTCCATCACCTACAACATAATTCATCAATCAATTTCTTTCTCTTCTCTTCCCTGCCCCCACCCCGCATATTACAGGAATGTTTCACATTCCCTATGATACACTGTTATTTTTATCTCCCTATTAACATCAGAAAAACTTGCAATGTCACCACATAAAATCATTCTGTGAATTTTTATCGTCTTTAAAAATATATCTTTGGTGAAGTTAATTTACTTATCCATCAAATAATAACAAGTTAGTGACCTTTAAGGGTCTACATTTGAACAGTAAAGTTATGGAATGAAAAAGATAAGATTCCATGCTTAACATGAACCCACCAATACAGCAAATACATGTTATTTCATTTTTACCATAAGGGAGTCCAGAGCTAATAATATGTAGTTATTAAAAATGCCCCAAGTGTAGGTCAAATTTTAATTTATTTAAAGTCTATTAAAGTAGGAATTTAGGGGCATTAGTTTGTACTGATTTATGTCTACCACATAAATATATTTAAATCAGTACAGGATTTATATCTATGCCCCCTGGCAGATATTAATTTAGTGACATGACTGGGAACGGATTAATTTTATCATGGCTCTCCAAAATAGAACATCCTGCTTTGCTAGGTGTGCATGGCAGAATTCGTGATTTTGGGGATCTGCAATAAAATTTATTTGATCCCAACTGCACATCTGCTGGGGCATGCAGCAGGCGCACGTACCCAGGTAATTGGGGGGCTCCAAAGTAACCAGCTGTCTGCACCCAACACAGTACTGCCATCTGCATATGTGCTACCAACATAAATTGGGTAAAATACACTCCTAGCTGACATTTTTTACAAGAAATAATGGCCACAAGCTAGCAGAGAGCAGATTTAGACAGGACATTAGGAAGAACTTCTTCACAGTTAAAGTGGCCAAAATCTGGAATGGGCTCCCAAGGGAGGTGGTGCTCTCCCCTACCCTGGGGGTCTTCAAGAGGAGGTTGGATAGGCATCTGGCTGGGGTCATCTGAACCCAGCA